GTATCTCCAAGCAGAAGACGAATATCCATACATGTTTCTCTGTTCTAGGTCTTGTTTAACATGTCCCAGTGGTAAAGGAAGGAATACTTTGAAGTTCCTTTTTATCCTCAAGAGACAAGAACTCTCCAGGGCTCTGCTCCCCATCCTGCTCACTTTCATCCAACGAGAGACCTTGATAAAAACAGGTCAGGCTGTATCCTTGAGTCTCTGAAAACTCCAGTGTCTCATGAGGTTTGTGTTCAGCTCCCCCTGCAGTCTCAGCCACTGTGTCTCTCAGAGCACAGAAGTACACAGCTGAGTCCCCCAAATGGGCTGATTGTTTCCTCAGGTGGAAGGAAGTTTCATTCTTCTTAAGTTCAGCCTCAAAACCTTTGATGCCTTTAACCAAGGTGGGCCCTGAAAAGTACCCGAGGAGAAGCTGGAGGCCTTGGCTGGGGTACTGGATGTACCAGAAGAGAGTAGGAGTTCCAGTATAGGAATAGCTGCACTTCAGCTCCAGAGGGGCTCCTTCAGAGACAATGATGTGGTCGTCAGGCTGGGTCACTGACTGGGCTCTGGTTCCTCCTGAAACATCAATGCTGAGTGAGTGAGACCAGGACAGACAGACCTACCTGTAATGAGATACCATCTCTATTCAGATTCCATTTGGAACAATGTTCCTTCTATGGAGGCAGGAGCATGGAATACAGTGTTACTTACTCACTGTGAAGAGCATTCCAAGCAGCAGAATGGTCGCTGAGAACATGGCCAGGCAGTGAGGAAGCTGAGAGTTATATTCTGGAAGATCTTCCCCGAGGAGCAGGAAGGAATGTGCCAGAGTATGCCCAGTCTTCTAATTGGGAAAATGTGAAAATGTGAGATTCAAGAGATCTCTGTTTAGGAGAGTTCTACAGACTATTAGTGAGAGATGCTTCCTTGACAGTGATTGCTCCTGGTGTTGATTCTACTCAGAATGTGCCCCTCAGTGAGCCGTGAGGTGAAGGAGCTTGTAGGAGTGAGGTAGGACTTTAATAGGTGAGACGTTTGCAGTTTCTGCAACATCGCCCTCTTGAGGTCAAATATAGAAACAAATTGAATCTTAAGGTTTTTTGTCCTATCTCCTTCCTTCTCCTATCTAGGCTTCAATTTCTTAGCATTGTAATCTGATGAGAGTGTTTTCAGGAGTCTATTAAGAGGCTCTTTTAATCTTATGAACTAAGTAGCATTATTTAATCCAAGAAGTAAATCACATTATCATCCTCATTTTATAAACGAGGAACCTGAAGCATGGAAGGAAGGATGAAAATTGTCCAAGTTCACAGCAAGTGACAACTGGAATTTGTCCCATTAGTATGACTCAAGAATCTACATTATCAACCACTGATAATTTAGAACTATAGCCCTTTAGAGTGGATATTATCCTCACTTAATATAAGGGAAATCAAGCCTTCATGAAGTTAAATAATTTGTCCAAGGACACACAAGGACTAGAACTACTTCCATTAGACTCCAAGCCCAGCTCCTCACCCACTATGTTATCTATGACACAGTACCACCCTCTAAGAGTGGATGTAGTTTGACTAAGAAAAACACTCAGGGCAAAACTCAGAAAAGAATAGCAACTAAAGACAATCCCCAAGGAACCCAAACACTGAATAGATGGGCAGTTGGAAAAATATCAATGTAACCTCAAAGGGTAGTCCAGAGAGGTAAGTGGCAAATCAGAAATGATGGGTGTTCGTGGCCGAGTGGTTAAGTTCGTGCGCTCCGTTTCAGTGGCCCAGGGTTTCGCTGGTTCGGATCCTGGGTGCGGACATGGCACTGCTCGTCAGGCCATGCTGAGGTGGTGTCCCACATGCCACAACTGGAAGGACCCACAACTATAATATACAACTGTGTACTGGGGGGACTTGGGGAGAAAAAGCAGGAAAGAAAAGGGAAGATTGGCAACAGTTGTTAGCTTAGTTGCCAATCTTTAAAAAATAAATAAATAAATAATTGCCTGGGTCTCTGCAATGGAGGCTGTAACGTCCCAGAAGACTTTGGGATGTTCATTTAGGTTGATTGTGAATCTTCTTTCTTGCTTCCCTATCTATTGGTAATTTAAGTATCTGACCCCTCTGCTTTCCTTCTGAACATCCTCTCTCTCGTATCTTCTCTTGCTTCCTTATCTGATATGGAGTCTGAAGACAATCATTCCAAAACTCTTTTATAAATGCCACCAATCAACACATTCCTCTCTATTCCATTTCAGCAGCCTGCCAAATCCAGACAGGATGAACTCCCTTCCCCACTATTACAGCAAACTGGAACCATGCACTAAATTCTGGGGTAATGTTAATTATGGCAAAGATGTTGGCTAAAATGTCTTATTGACCACATAACGTGCCACGGTGCTATGGGAGACCTGTAATGTTTAGGGCTACAGCAGGTACTTCTTGTTATCTACAAATTGTGGATTTATTTCTTCATCCTTACTAACAGAATCCTGATGTTCCTTTAGTTAGCGTTGTTTCTAGATAAAAATACACACCTCTCCCAGACTTTTGCAGCTTGGTGTCACCATGTACTCTGTTCTGATCAATAAGATGCAAGTATCTTGAGAGATTTATCATCTCTTCCTATTCAATAGACTTTTCTGCATTTCCTAATGATCCAAAATGTCAATAGTTAGGCTTCTTGGACTACATATCGAAGGTCGAAAGTCCTACATTTGTATCCCAGACAGGAAAAAGACTGTTATCACACTGCTCATCTATGGTCTTTTAATAGAGAGCCAGAGCTTACTCATGGTCTGAGGCCATGCTTGTTTAACAAATGTGTTCTTAGTCAAATATCTCAGTCACAAAAAGGGAAAACTAGTTTAAAAATACCTGACACTTTAGTTTTAGTTCACATATCACCTTATAATTAATATGAGGTCATTGTGTCATTTTAAAGTTATTATTGGACTATAACACACATATAGGAAAGTGTAAGTGTATTGTAAATATTCAGCTTGATAAGTTTTCACAAAATAGACCCACCCTTATACCTAGCACCCAGATCAAGAAACAACGTTACCAACACTCCGGACCTCCCTTTATGACCTTGGTGATACTCTCCCATGGGTGACACCACCCCGACTTTTAACAGTATAGATTAGTCTGTCTGCTTCTGCACGTTATAGAAATGACATGTTTATTGGCCATTGTTTTGAGAAATGTCTGCTTAAAACTCTTGAGTTCTCTATCAGTTTCCTCATTTTCTTGTTCATTTGAACATCTTTTTCTTTAATCAAAACGAGCTTCTTGGGGCTGGCCCCATGGCCGAGTGGTTAAGTTCATGCACTCCGCTGCAGGCGGCCCAGTGTTTCGTTGGTTCGGATCCTGGGTGCAGACATGGCACTGCTCATCAAACCACGCTGAGGCAGCATCCCACATGCCACAACTAGAAGGACCTACAACGAAGAATATACAACTATGTACCAGGGGCCTTTGGGGAGAAAAAAGGAAAAAAGAAAATCTTGGAAAAAAAAAGAGCCTCTTGACACTAATAATTGTTTCAAATATCTTCTATTCACTGGCCATCATTTTAACTCTTGAAATAACTTAATTTTAATATAGTCCAATTTTGATGCTTAAATATTTTTGTAACCTGTTTAAGAAATATTTGTCTAACACATGGTAATGAAAAGTTTTGTATTTTCTTCTGCAATCTTTATATTTTATTCTTACATTCAGATCTGCACTCTATCTGAACAGCTATTTGCACGTGATGCCAAGGTCGAGGTATACTTTGCCATATGACAAATTATTAAATGCCGCTTATTTAAAAGACCATCTTTTACTCTTGGCAAATAGTGCAAATGTTTTTAAAAATTTTTATTGTAATACTGCTTCAGTACAAATTTTACCACAAAATTTTCTCACCTACTTCTGTCTGTTCTTCTTATTCTTCTTTTTCACTTGTTTTTTCTCTATTTTTAGATTTTTGCTTTACGTTTTACAGTCACCCCTTATTTATTACACTGATGACGCAATTTTCAAAACTTTTGCTCTAACTACTAAAATAAATTTTTGGAAATTTTCTCCTTCTGTTTGTGTTCAGGATTTTTTCTTCTCCAAGTGCCATATGTGTATAACTTGTTATTTTGTTCCTTATAAAATTCTTCTGTCTTATGCACTTCTGTTGGCAAGTTAATTTGAAAATCACTTAATGTGTTGGCTCTTTCATGCAATTCTGGTGGATCCAATCAAATAGTCTCCTAACTTTGGAATAAATCAGACGTGCTTACCAGGTGGAGTTTGTGGAACATTAGGATGCTCAGTGTGCGTTGCTAATGATCTTTTTTTGATTCAATCTATATTATTTGTAGGAAGTAAGACTCAAAAGATACAATGTGCCAACAGAGCTCAGAGTTCTTAACTCTTGTGATTTTTTTGTGAGATCATCTACCAACGTTAAATCTCTAATGGTCAGACTAGTAGTAGAACTAATGATGGTTCTGTTAAAAAAACTCATTTTTTGTAATTTATGAAGATGAATTTAGCGACATAGTTTAAAGCAGAAAACTTTCAGTGTAAGGACAGCTAGACAATTTTTTTGATTGGTAGAGGGTTATTCTGAGTAGGGGTGAAAAAGATAAGAATATAAAAGTCTTTTTTGAATCTTTTAACTACTTTAGCTTGGCAAGCGCTGTGTATCCTGGAAGCATAGCATTGCTGAATCATTATATGATCTTTTACACCTTCTTTGGCTTGCAGTTATGGCAATGGGTTGATTGTGGAACCAACCGATGTCTAAATGTCTTTTTTTCTCCTTCCTTTTTTTGCAAAGTTGGGAGAATTCCTTGCCCCTTTCCAAGAGATTCTAGCTAAATGCCATTTTAACGTTTCAAATTACCTAGTGTCAAATACCTTCTGGCAAACACTATGTACTAATAATTTTAAAAGAGAAAGGAGAAATTTATGCCACTAGCCATGATGTATGAAGACCATCACAGATAAAGAGAATTTTGAATTGGCATGAATTGAAGTTTCACAGAAAGAGCTTAACGAAATACTTGGGGATTAAAGAAAGGAAGGGCAAGAGAGAGGGAAGAAGGAAAGAAGAAAGGACAATCAGAAGAAAAGAATTAATGAGTACATGAATAAATAGGGATTTTGGAACATATCCTATCTTCATTATTTTATGAATGTGATATTCTTGAGCTCTTTATTTTTGTAGAAGATCTAACTCATGCCCCTAGTAATTTATTGTATCCCTAGCATTTGACAGTAAAATTTTCAGTCATGAATGTTTATTTGTTCAGTAAATATTTATTGAGCACCTACTATTTGTCAGGTACTGTGCTCGTTACTTAGGATACATCTGTAAACAAAACAGACAAAAATATGTTTCAGACCTTTAGTTTCAAATATAGGGATGCAGAGGATGGCCTTGGAAGGAAAGGAAAGTGAGATCAAAGACTGTGAAGAAGAGGAAATGAGTGAAAAAAGCAACTGGAGGGATCTTGAAAGAGACATGCTAATCTTTGGAAGCTGCTACTAGCACCTCGCACTGCACTTTCTAAGACATGAGTACAAATGTCTGTTCCCTCATCTCTCACTCACAGAATCAAAGCAATTTCCAAAGTATGATAATCATAGAAATTACATTTATGTACACACACTTAGTACCAGGACAAATTTCTCAGTCTTTGTGAAGATCCAAGAATATACTGAATGCCACTCACATCAAGGATCAGAATCCTCTCTCCTGCTTTCTCTGCCTTATCTACTAGTTTCTTCTATATCCTTTCTGCTTGGGAAAATGCATGACTGAAACAGAGCTGAGGATGCTTCAGAATCTCTCTACAAACAACATGTATTTCTGCTTCCATTTGAATATTTAGGGGCTAGCACTATCTCTTTATAGGATTAGGGACCATTGCCTTTCTCAACTCTTAACTCATGATGCCTACTCTAACATTTTGCCATTTTGCTCTAAAATGTGCATCACCTTCTGGGATGGTACTATGATCCATCCCACTGACTTCATATTTGATTCACTATTTTGTGGTTTCTTTCTTACTATTGCTTCCAGTAAGACAAGATTGAACAATATATGCTTAGATTTTGGAGCTTGACAATCTCAGGTTTAAAAATAAATTATTAAGTTGGTGCTAGCACTTATTAAGACTGTGAATATTGGCAAGTTTTTAAATCTCTTTGAGGCTTAGTTTTCTAATATGTAACATAAGTCTCAGAATAATTCTTCACCAAACGGTAATGAAGATTAGAAGATATAATATAATTAGGGCTTTCCTAAAAAGATACTGACCTCTGAAGCCAAAAAGAAATAAGTGCTTGACAGATTTGACAATTTAAAAATTAAAAACAATCACATTAAAAAATAAACAAAATAGGGGCCGGCCCCGTGGTGCACTGGTTAAGTTCGCATGTTCTGCTTCAGTAGCCTGGGGTTTGCCGGTTCAGATCCTGGGTGTGGACAGGTCACCACTTGGAAAGCCATTCTGTGGCAGCCGTCCCACATATAAAGTAGAGGAGCATGGGCACAGATGTTAGCTCAGGGCCAGTCTTCCTCAGCAAAAAAGAGGATGATTGGCAGCAGATATTAGCTCAGGGTTAATATTGCTCAAAAAATAAACAAATAATAAAAAAAATAAATAAACAAAAGGTAGTATGTTAGAATAAAATATTCAAGCAAATATAAAAGTAAAAGACTATCGAAGATATAGAAATAATTGCTACAAAGAAAAAGAAAACTAACCTAATGGCAAAATGGTCAAAAGGTAGGAATAATCATATGATCAAGGCTGAATGACAGAGTGCCAACATATGGAGAAAAAGATGCTCGAAAGCACTAGGAATCAGAAAATGCATACAGGTAAAGTATATTTGGATTGTTAAAATAAAAATTACTGGAAATTCCCAATTTGTGCAAGGATGTAAAATGAGCATTCTCATCTACTGTTGGTTGGAGAATAATTGTTTAACATCATATGGAGGGCAAATCGTCACTTTCTTCAAAAATTTTAAATGAGCCTTTCCTTGGACATAGCAATTCCAATTTCAGAAATCCCATTAAAATAGACGCTTCCACATATATGCAAAAGTAAATCTCCAAAAATGTATAAGACAACATTCTTTATGACAGCAAAGAAATAGAAAGAAATTTGCATCAATAGAGAAGTAACTAACTAAATGATAGAATGTCTCAAAGTACTAAAAAGGCATCAAAAACAATTAAATGGATTTCTCTACTTTTTTTCTACTGTGGAAAGATCTCCAGGACACTTTATTTAATGAAAACCAAATGCAAATTGCAAAAAATTCAAATAAATCCAGTTTACATGACAAATTGTTTGCATGTGTATATATGTGTGTGTAAATGTTTGTAGTTGCATAAAGTTATATGCAAATATATACACGGATGGATAGATAGATACATTTGAAAGAAAACAGCATGGCGTGATACACCTTAAACTATCAGCACTGGCTTTCTCTGAGAGGACAGTAGGAGCTGGGGTAGAATGAAAGAGACTCAGCTGCGGGCTTTCACTTTGGCTCTGCCTGAGCCTTATGGTAAGGTGGATCTGTGTGTTGCTGAGGGAATATCAAAACATGACGAAAACTCTTTAGAGATGTAAGACTTCTAAACAAATTAAAATAAATTAATATTCATTTAATTTTTGCTGTTTTCCAAAAATAAATTTTCTTCATGACAAATATGCATGCTGTCGACTAGCAATAAAATCCAGTTCAAATTTTTCTCAGAGAAAGAGTAGTTTGTTTCTGGTAAGTGGAACAACTATAATGGAATGCTTTTCAGAGTTTGGACTTGCCCCTGGAAATGGAAGAAGCCTTGGGACAAGTAGAATTGTTATTATTTTCCTCAACTTTCATATTGAGACTAACACTGAAACCCACATTTTATTGATATGAGGAGGAGCTACGACACATTATTAATACCTCTTCACTTTATTGTTGTGTTTGAATTATAATTCTTAGTCTTCCTCATAATTCTTCTCAGCCACGTCAACAATTGAAGTGCTTATTTTTGTCTTCTCTCTCTTCATCCTGTCTTTCTTCTTTTCCTTATCCATATTCACCCTGTCTCCTTCCCTTCGTTTCCTCCTTTCTTTTTCCTCCCTGACTCGCCTCCTAAATGGTTCTGGATTTGCTCTCTGGCTGCAGTCACCCCTCCTCCCCCCCAACTCCCACACCCCAGAGAGATATTGCACAGGTGCAGCCCCATCTGTCCCAATGTGCCTCTCTCACAGCGCAGTAGTACACAGCGGTGTCTCTCAGGGTGACCTGGGGCAGGATCAAGATACTGGACTTTCTGTCTGTTGCGATGGTCAGAGAGGCCATATTGTTGGTCACATTGTTTCGTAATCCATGAATTATAAACTGTGGACTCTGGTTGGGATTTTGCCGATACCAATATACATACTCTTCTCTAACGATGGTAGAGTGGTTACAAGGCAAGTTTACATCTTCTCCTTCAGCACAATCCACGGAATTGGGCTGGGTGATCTGAGCATCAATCACAGTCCCTAAGGGGTCATGAAAATCACATTAACTCCTGACCACAAATTAATGTAATTCTATGGAACAAGGACAGCACTCCCATAATTCTCTGGCTCTACCCCATACTCCAGAGTTTTTATTTATGTCCTCCAAAAATATCCTTGGTGTTCATTATGGAAACCAAAGACATATCTCAAGAATCAGAAACTCCACAGGCTCTGTTCCATGGGTCCTTGGCTCAATAAACTCAGAGATTTCCTAAAACTGGGATACTGCCAAGGGCTCTTCTGGGATTGTAGCTATGATTTAACCTGTAGAAGTTTGTGCCCCTAGACAAATGCATAGATCAGTTCTCAATTCCATCCCTAGCATGCTGGATAAAGCACAGGGAGAGGAGTAGAGAGCAATTAATGCTCCAAGTTCCTTTGGCCTCAAAGCCATCCCTTGGTAGACACAGAACACTTACCCAAGGTCAGAAACGCAGTTATTCCAGTCACCAGCCTCATACTTCAAGGACAAACTAGGATCATAGGCCCAGAGCTCAGTCTTTGTGTCTGATCCTAGGCTCAAAGAGTTTCAAGAGAACAGAGGCAACAGCTATTAGCAAAGACTTACAAGGAGTGCAGCTACCACTGTGTTGCCACCAGGACCTTGTCAGCCAATGAGAGAGCAGTTCCTTGTCTGGGTCTTCCTCCTCTGCTTTAGACGTGCCCTAGGAAGAAGGTGAGACTATCCACCAGACATCCTCAACTCACAGGGTGTCCACTGAAATCATTTCTGAGGTTTAAAGTTTGGCTCTGGATAAGGAAAATCAATCACAAGAAGGTGTCTATCCAGAACCTTTCTTCCATCATTTCTTCCTCAGTGTACCAAAGAAATTGGCTGCAGTTGTGGAAAGGATCATTTAATCCAGAAAACAATACGGAGTTCTGTGCTGTAAGGAGATGAAAATTCCCATCCACATTCCAAAAAATGCACGTGAGATTCAGAAGTGGGCAGTGATGTGCTCATGGGGACAGGAAAGATTAATAACATTGAGACTAAAAGCTCAACCTCTTGGAGCTCAGATTTCCTATAAAAGTCCCTGGAATCACGTAACTACTGATGTCCAGGGAGACATTTCTCAATGCATCTGTTCTTGAGGGAGTAACTGATGATGTGCATGGTACTTACTCTCATCTTCCTTGAACAAATCTCCTGCTCATCTCCTCTATGCCCATGCTTATGGGTGCTGGGCACCAAGGATGCTGAGGCAGAAAGAAAAGAGAGAAGGGAAAGCAAATAAGCGGGGGAGGTGGAGGTGGTAGGAAAGGTTAGAGGAGGGAAGAAAAAAAGAGTATAAGGAAGGGGGAAAGTAAGGGATCAGCAGGGAAGGGAAACTGAGAGAATGTCCTTAGGGAGGTACAGGAAAGGACTCAGGCTATTGGGCTAAAAGCTCTGAATCCTTGACCACACACACTCAGCGAGAGATTATAAAGTACAAGTTATCTAAAGACGATGAAATATGTCATTTTTCCCGTTTTCTGTGGAACGTCAATGGAAAGCATAAGCTTACCTTCCCTTCCCCCAGAAAGGAACTGTTTGCATGTGAAACTGCTCCCTCTCGTGGCTGAATCGATGAACTGCAAAACCAAAACCGGGCCAATAGGCAGCCAGCCGTCTCCTGAAAGATGCTCTCCTCAGGTCTGAAGGTGGACATCTTAGTTGTAACACCTCTGTACTCACCTTTGTTTTCTCCAAACACTCCAAAAACTCCAAGGAAGGCTTTGATTGTTTTTGTTTACTTTATTTCAGTAATATCTCAATTATAATTCTCAGTGTAGGCTTCTCTTTAATTTTCCTTTTCTGTTAAACTTCTCATACTTAAATGTTGACTTAAAAGTCCATATTACTCAATGTGTGTAGGGGAGCTTGTTATAGACTAGACACTCAAGAATTACTTGTTTTCCAAATGAGTAGATGAGTCATTATTCATAAATTTTGTGGGAGGACTTATGCTGAACAACTATTTAAATTATTGTGAGTACCATCTTCCAATTTTATGGAAAACATTTTGAACAAAAGACTCCAACAGGACAAATACAGCGTTCAATTTATGGAAAAAATTCAACAATAGACAGCAAATCCCCTAAACTCAGGGTGGGGAAAATCAGACTGTGAAAATATGGGAGTAATTGTCATAGTAATCATACTTCATTCATGTAAGAAATGTTCACTGGGAGCCGAGTCTGTGCCAGATCTGTGTCTCACACACACACACAGATAAGTCAACAATGCACTACTGCTGAAAATATAAGAACAAATAAAAACTGAAATTACTTAAAGGCAGAAGAAAAGTAATTAACAATAACTTTTTTGTTTGTTGGTTTATTTGCATTCATTTTCTAGAAGAGAGTAGAGGCCACTAACAGGTGGCATTTTAACTACTACTGAAAAATAAAAAATACTCTGTGTGAGTCTGAAGAATCTAAATTTATGTTTGTCCAGTCTATTGCTTCTTTTCAGAGTCTTGAGGTTTAGAAGATTGTGTTATCTCTAGAATCATATGAAGTGAAGTTATCTTCATTTGCTTGATGAAAACCAAAATAATATACTTAGTTTACTTTCAAATCAGCAAGAGAATCTGATAAAAGGTTAACTCCTTTGCATGATGAACACTCTTAACAATCCATAAATACAAGAGAAATTCCTGAATCTGATAAAGGGTATCTATGAAAATGTCCAAAGTCAACATTATTTCCCCTGAAGTCAGGAACAAGACAAAGAGACACTATCACTACTTCTATTCACTCTCATACCAAGAGGCTGGCATCAAGTCAGGAAAAGGAAATAGATATAAAGTTTGGAAAGGGAGAAGTAAAGCCGTTTCTATTCATAGACGGTACATTTGTATATACAGAAAATACAAAATTATCTATGAACAAACTACAAAACTAGAATAGAGGAATTAAACAAAGTTACTAAACACAGAAATCAATTTTATTTCTAGATTCTAACTAAAAGCACTGAAAATTAAAATACCATTTAGCAAATACCTGGGAATGAATTTAATGAAGGTATGAAAATCCTTTAGAATAAAAGCTACAACACCTTAATAAAAGGAATTAGAGAGGACCTACACAAGTGAGGAGGATATCATATGGATCTGAAGACTCCATGTGTTAAGATGTCAGTTGGCCCACGTTGACCCATAAATTCAACACAAAATCAATAAAGTTACTAGAAAGCTTTTGTGGTAGAAGTTGGGAAGCTAACTCTATAATTTATGTGGAAGTACAAAGATCTAGAATAAGCCTTGAAAAAGAAGGAGGAAGTTTGGCCTGCATTTCCAGATTTTAAATCGTATATGAGGTCCCAATTAAGAGATAATGGTCTATTGGTATGAAGATAAACAGGTCAATAAACAGCATCAAATCCAAAAATAGATCCATACACATACACTGTCAACTGATTTTCTTCAAATGTGCCTATATAATTCAATGGGGGAAAAGATGATCTTTTTAGGATAAGTGCTGGAGCAATTGGCTATTCATGTTTTTAAAAAGTTCCTTGACCCCGCCCTCACACCACATAAAAAATGAATTCTAGATGGATAAGAGCTCTAAATGTGATAGGTGAAACTGCAAAGCTTCTGAAAGAAAATAAGAGAATTTCTTTCTCACCTTGAGAGTAGGGAGATATTCCTTTAAAAGTAAACACAAAAAAACTAACCATAAAACAAAAAAAATAGTGAATTGCACTCCTTAAAAATTAAATACTTATGTTCCCCAAATACACCATTGAGGGTATGAAAAAACAAGTTACAGATGAGGCTATGGTATTTATACTACATATATCTGACAAAGAACTTGAATACAGAATATGTAAACTTGTTTATAAATTTTAAAATGGTAAAAATAAGACAAGCTAAAATCCAAAGAAACATGGGCAAATGATGTGAAGTGACACTTCTCAAAAGAAATTATCCAAATGGCCAATTAGCTTACAAAAATGTGTTCCATATCATTGCTCATCAATGAAATGTAGACTAAATCCGCAATGTGATACCAGTACGTGCATGCTAAAATGTTTAAAAGAATAAGAACTTCTGTTTCTGGAAAGATGGGATTGTCACAAATTTTATTTTAGCCATTCTGACAGGTTTGTAATGATATCTCATTGTGGTTTTAATTTGCATTTCTCTAATGGCTAATGATGTTGAATATACTTTCATGTGCTACCTGTCTATCTTTTTTAGTGAGGTATCCCCTTGCTCATGTTCTAATTGGATTGTTTGCTTTATTTACTGTTGAGCTTTGAGACTTCTTTATATATTCCAGATGCTGGTCCTTTGTAGGATTTATGATTTGCAAATCATTTTTCTCAGTCTGTAGCTTGTCTTTTCATCTTCTTAAGAGAGTCATTTGCAGGATAAAGATCTTAATCTTGAAATTTCATTCATCATTTAAAAAAATTATGGACTGTGCTTTTGGTGTTAAGTCTAAGAAGTCTTGGTCTTACATATCAAAAAATTTGTCCTATGCTTTTTTTCTAAAACTTTTATAGTTTAACATTTTACGTTTATGTTTGTGATCCATTTTAAATTAATTTTTGTATAAAGTGTGAGACTTAAATGTTCACTTTTCTTGCATATGGCTGTCCAGTTGCTTCAACATCATAAGTTGAAAATTTCTTTCCTCTATTGAACTTCTTTGGCACTTTTATTAAAAAAATCAATTGGATATGTTTGTGTTTGCTTATGGGCTCTCTATTCTTTTCCACTGATTTCTGTATCTAGCCCTTCACCAATAACACATAATCTTGGTTACTGTAGCTATAGTTTGAAATCAGGTAGACTGATTTCTCCCACTTTCTTCTTTTTCAAGATTGTTTTAGCTATTCTAGCATCTTTGCCTCTTCGTATAAATTTTAGAATAATCTTGCCAATATCTATAAAAAATCCTGCATGGATTTTAACAGGAACTATGTAAAATGTGTGTATCAATTTCGGGAGAATTGATTTATTTACTGCTTTGAATCTTACAATTTTCAAACGAATGTCTCTTCACTGTCTTATTTCTTTCATCAGCATTTCGTAGTTTTCAGCATAAAATTTCAATATATGTTTTGTTAAATTTGCACCTAAGGGTTTGGGGTCTTTTTTGAGCCATTGTAAATGGTATCGTATTTTTAATTAGGTGCCTAAATGTTTGTTGCTAGTATATAGAAATACATTCGATTTTTGGATGTTTATCTTGTATCTTGTGACCTTGCTGAACCCATTTAACAGTTTTAGAAGTTTTTTGGTATATTCTTTGGGATTTTATACATAGATAATCATATTATCTACAAATAGTGGAAGTCTTCCTTGTTCTTTTCTGATCTAGATGATTGTCTTTACCTTTACTTTGTTTACTGCACTGGCTAGAACATCCAGCAGTATGTTGAATGAAAGTGGATATTCTTGCCTTTGACCTCATCTTAGGGAAAAAGTATATAGTCTTTTACCAGTATGCATATTATTAGCTGTTGAGGAAGATCCCCACTATTCCTATGTTCCTCAGAGTTTCTACCATGGATGAGTATTGAATTTTGGCAAATTTTGTTTTCTGCATAGATTACTATGATCATATGGGTTTTATTTTTTAGCCTGCTAATATGGTGG